GCAGGTTTATTCTTGAAAACTTAGTGGATATAAATAAGCATTCACCTCCTTGGGGAAAAAGTACAACTAGTCCTCATAATCAGATTTTCTGAATGTTTTTGACGTTTTCTCTGGCCTTTTTATGTCCCAGATCGGTCCATGCTTACAATGAGGACTCCAAATTCTTGAAATTTGATTGGTCCAAAAGGCACTGTCCTGACTGGACACAATAGAGGCTCTTTGTTTGTTTGAGGCTTCACAGCTCCAATTGGATGGGGAAATCCTCAGTCCTACTAGTTGAAAAGGGTTCCAGGTGCTCCTTTATAAGGGCGGGCTCAGATGGCAGAGACAGTGAAGGCAGGCAGTCCAGTACAGGCTACTTCCTGACAAATTTGATTGGTCCAAAAGGCACTGCCCTGATTGGACACAATAGAGGCTCTTTGTTTGTTTGAGGCTTCACAGCTCCAATTGGATGGGGAAATCCTCAGTCCTACTAGTTGAAAAGGGTTCCAGGTGCTCCTTTATAAGGGCCAGCTCAGATGGCAGAGACAGTGAAGGCAGGCAGTTCAGTACAGGCTACTTCCTGACGTGCAGTTTGGGTGAGAAAGGGCTGCTAGGCTCTGTATTGTTTTTTTGTTTATTTGTTTGTTTTTTAATTTGAGCCACCAGTTAGCCACCAGGAGCCCTTCTTAATAGGTGTCTTTTGTAACTCAGGGTTCACAAGACCAATACAACAAAGAATGAATTTCTAAAAATGTTTTACATATTACGAAAATGAGGAATTAGATTATTCAGCTTTGCTGCAGTAACAAATAACCCCCAGATCCTGGTGGCTTACAATAGCAAATTTCTATTTCTCATATTACATGTCTGCTCCATCTCTGATCTACCTGCTGTCTAATTCTATTGCCCAGCCTGAGAGAACAGTCTCTTTGGGATTTGCCAGTTTTATGACAGAGGGCAAAGAGCAAAAGAACTGTCAGAACGAATGTAATGGTGCCTGTTCCCTTTTCTGGTGAGATGTGACATAAATCAGATCCTCTCATATTCCATTGGCTGAAATAGGTTACAAAGTCAAATCAAAATCAGAGAGGCAGGGATAGAAACTCTGCCTACAGGACACAGGGAAGGTCACATGGCAATGAGTGGGGATTTATAACCCTCTTAAAAGAGGATTGCTGGAAACAGAAAGCAACCTATCAAGGAAGGATTCTGTATTTTCCCACCATGGCAGGTTTATGAGTCATCTCCTTATCAGTAGTGCCTCTTCATGCTGCCTTTTCATTTTTAGAATTAGTTGATTCCATGTTTGTATTTTTATTTTATTTTATTTTTTTAATGTCTTTATTGATTAAGTTATTACATATGTGTCCTTATCCCCACGTTACCCCTTATCCCCCCCCACTCATGCCCTCACCCCCCTGTCGTAACAAGGAGGCAAGAACATATAATGGAGTCAAGACAGTCTCTTCAATAAGTGGTGTTGGGAAAATTAGACAGATGCATGCAAAAAAGTGAAATTACTAGACCATACTCAAAAACAAACTCAAAATAAATAAAGGATTTAAACATAAGGCGGGAAACCATAAAAATATTAGAGGAATAGACAGGCAGCAAAATGTCAGACATATGCCAAAGCAATATCTTCACTGATACAGCTCCTAGGGCAATGGAAACTAAAGAGAAACTAAACAAATGGGACTACACCAACATAAAAAGCTTCTGTACAGCAAAAGAAACCATCAACAAAACATCAAGAAAGCCCACTGCATGGGAGAACATATTTGCCAATGTTATCTCCGATAAGGGTTTAATATTCAACATTTACAGGGAACACATACAACTAAACAAAAGGAAGATAAACAACCCAATCAAAAAATGGGCAACAGACCTAAATAGAAACTTTTCAAAAGAAGACTGAGACATACAAAAACATACTCAAAGTCACTAATCATCTGAGAGATGCAAATCAAAATGACAATGAGGTACCATCTCACACCTGTCAGACTGGCTATCATCAACAAATCAACAAATGACAAGTGCTGGCGAGGATGTGGAGAAAAAGGAACCCTCGTGCACCGTTGGTGGAAATCCATGTTTGTATTATATTGACAAGTTGGCTGAAGCCCCAACAGAGTAAACTTTAATTCTGAAAGAATAGGGACAAATTTTACACTATATACAGGGACATTTTTTTGTGGAGTTTACAGACATCCTCTTTTTTCTCTTCAACATAAGAATGTTGAAGTAAATGAAATCACTACCAAGTGAAAATATTTAGTTATAATGCTTGATCAGAAAAGATATGGCAATTCTGAAGCCTGGAGACAATAGAAGAGGTTGCATTAAATGCCCCTCCCCCTCTAAAAATAATGAAGCATGATGAAAACTTGAGTATATATATGTATATATATATATA